TTAGAAAAAAGCTACCTAAAACAGCACTCTATAGTCACCGCCGGCGTTTATTACACCTGTCATTAAAAAAAATCTTATAAATAATGTTATTATAGCCAGCTTTTCTTCTTAGTTAACGTATTAATAGATAGATGGACTGTTTGAAATTAAAATTGATTGAAGCCATGCGTTGCCCGTGGTCCTTCTGCTTAAATCTACCGGTAGCTAGTAGTGTCACGGGCTCATATTAAAATCGTAAAATCATATTCCCCATGGAACGGAATCACTGTTAATTATTTTCACGTGGTTCTATCAGATAGGACCGAGCAGTAGGTCAACGGGCAATGCACGATTAAGTCATCCTTTTCAGTAATTTCGAAGGTCATTCTGTCATTTCTTGTAACCATAAAACAATTGTTTTTTGACATTATGGTGAAATAGTTTGCTCCATGTTTATCTTCGAACCATTCCAGAAATAAGTAGTCAAAGAATTAGCAGTTAAGTTGATGCGTCCTATGACGCAAATGTTGAGTGAAGTAGGTCACGTCGCATCGCAACAGACTCGATTTGTGATTCTGTTCTATACAGATTTCGTTACACTCTTGTATCTGTTTGAATTCATTTGGCTTGTTTACAGTTGTTAAGTTTCAGATTATTTCGACTGTTTTAGGCAATGCTACTGCTCCCTTTAATGAAATGACGAGCTGCTGATATTGTTTAGGAATAAATAATAAACTTATTCAATATCTCCAAGCTTACCAACACATAATTGAGTTGTAATGGGAAATCTCTATTTGAGTTAGTGTTAGGAGATCCCAGTCCCCCATGTCATTAAATTACTTTATTGGAAATTCTCCATGAAGATAACTTAATAAAGATGTGCATTTTAGTACATAATCTACCCAATACATTGATAAAAGGCAGTCAAGTGGTACTTGCTTGCGTATAATCGGTCCTATCTACAAACTTAGGATACCTTTCTCGATGTTTAACGAAGTACGCCTACATGGGACGTTCTTGAATTAAACGGTATACAATAGCAACTAGTAGATGTACACAAAGATCTCTCTGTAAAATCATTTAAATAACTGCTCTCCTTGCACGGCAATCATGTGCAATCTAGCTTGCGCCTGCGCTACGTACCTTTAATTTAAGGCCCCCTATTGGGTACAGCGTTTATGTGCAAGCGAGTATGTACAATTTGAATCACTACATATGATATCAGGACGCAGTAAATATTGAAATACAGACCAAGCCATGTAAAATGTATAGGGAAAAAACATAAAATTAGGTAAAAACGTAAAATTTTCATAAAATCAATAAAAGTAAAAGTAATACATTATTTAATCTATTGGGACTTGACATAACTTCGTAAGATGCTATGACGGTGAGTGAAAAGTGGATGCACAATGCACATTCATAATAAATGTTGTCTTTATCTTTCCCACTACGGCTAGCTAGAAAACTGCCCATTTACTGGTGGCTTATGTATGTATGTAAGCTGCTTTTCTGTTTACTTCCCGGCACATCTTTAGTGATACAAGCCCACCGACTAGAGATGAGATGAGAAACCAGCGTAACACAAACTATGGTGGACGCTATGTAATCGCGAATCTTGCATTTGATAACTTATTACGGCCTGTACCGCGGTAATGTGATTATGTTTTTCTTTGTGCGAAAATTATTATTTTTCTGGCAATTTTAGGGGATCCCTTGATGGATGCATTAGATGACGTAAAGGTTAGTAAAACAGTGAACTGCAGACTCTGATGACGAGGTTTGTACAAGCAGGGTTGTTTGGGCGCTTGTGTTAACAAAGATGTTGTCTTCGATGTTGCGATCGGTAAGCCATGACCTGAATATTTCAAGTTTATAATATAACCATATCTGTCTACTTTTATGAAAATTTTAAACGCGTACAAGTGTATTTTCAGGCTAGATTATTTATTTTATGACCTTGGATAAAGAAACCTTTGATATCTTTAGTCTCAGAATACCTCTCGCGATTTTCACAGTCGATTAACTGGTCTATTGACGTCTACTACACAATAAAAGTGCGAATGAATTCTTCGGAAGGTCAATTTCTACGCTTTATCCTCGGCTTTAAGACCAGGCGGCATGGGGCGTTTGTTACTACTTTCAAGATCAAGGCCATTCCCCAATTGTAAAGCAATAAGAGGCCTATCCGCTACAATGTAGGCTACATAATACCTGCGGCCAGTACTGGTTTTTACTAGAATTATTATTATGAGAGAGACACCATCTCTTCATAAAGACATTTAAAGTTAGGGGTGACGTATGACTAGAAGACTTGAAGAACTTGTTTTAGTGTTTGAAGATATTTTCAGTGGTTTGCTTTATAAGTCAGGTTTAAGACTAGTAATGACTTTTCATATAGCGCCTTCTCTTATATTACTCTAATGAGAGATTTTTGTCTCCAAGTGTTTGTGCAAGAGTCTTTAGGCTCCTTTTCTCATCCTGATTTTTTATTAACAAATCAATATTTACACTGAGATATGGGAGTGTTGCAACGAGAGAGTGAATTGACGGGGATGCAGTATACAGAAGAGGACATGCATACTAGAGATTCTGTTTACATTTCGGGGGTAGCATTTTGTCAATACTGCCATTGTGCCGTTCAACTTCACTCCATGTTAGGGGCCGTCCATAAATTACGTCATCGATTTTTTCAGATTTTAGACCCCCCCCCCCCTATCTATCATTTACCGTCATCCGCAGACCAACCCCCCCCCCCCTAATTTAGAATGACGTAATATATGGACGGCCCCTTAGCGTAACATGGAGTGAAGTTGAACGACACGGAATTTAGCGAAATTCCGTTTATTCCTCCCGCATGGCGACATCGTTGTCTTGTCGCTTCTCAGCTCATCAACACGATTTTTACATTTCTGGAGATTTTGTTAACATTTCAGGGGTAGCATTAGCATTTTCTCAGAAGTACATATTACTATGTGTCGCTCAACTTTGCCAGAATAAATACAAATAAGTAGATACCCTATCTTCATACAAATGCACCGAGCGCGGTTTATAATATGTGAGCGCGCCAATACATATACGGCGCGCACGCACACACTGACATAATTTATCGCGGTTTATCTGCCAATGCAGTTGGATCTTATTTGACTGTCCTGGCGAATATTGATATATTCGTATCCGAAAATCCGCGGCGTCATACTAGAAAGAAAGTATCTGGGTCTCTTGTGCATAATTTTGTACAGTTACAGTTAGTTGAAGAAAAATTACTATTTACACTACTACTACAATTTAACAAATATACAAACACACAAACTTTACCTCTTTATAATATTAGTATAGATTTAGAGGAAAACCAAATTAGTAGAACATTAGAACTGTAACTTAGGTAGGTCTATCTATAATATAAAAATAAATCGCAAAATGTGTTGGTAAGCGCATAACTCAACAATGCCTGGACCACTTTTAGCAATTCTTTTTTTATTAATGTTGAAGTCCAAGGATGGTTTTTACAGCGAGAAAAATTCGAATTATTTCCGGGAAAACCCCGGGCGGAAAGCTAGTTATAAATAAAATTATTTGTATGGTACCTACTTCTAGTGTACATCCACTAGTTATACAGGGTGTCCCAAAAAGTAGTATCAAGCTGAAGTCCAGAGGTAGAACATCACTAATCGCCGCAACTTTTGATAGTTTTCGAGTTATGTTTTTTTTACAACATACAGGATTTTAGTTTACATTCGTGTCATTCGTGTTATGGATGTAAATGTTGCAGTCAAAACTCATAATCGGTCAAAACCACATTTGCCTGCAAAAATTAATCAAAAGTGGTTTTGACTAACGCCCTTGGTCAAAACCACTTTTCACTGATTTTTCCAGTCAAAAGTGGTTTTGACCGTTTATGAGTTTTGACTGTAACATAAATACTTCTGAATCAGCTAGGCCTAGTATTCATCTAATAATAAAATCAGGCATGTGACTTGACTATTCGCGCCACAATGACCAAAAAAGTGCCTAAGCACAGAAATTTAAAACAATCATAACTTGAAAACTATCAAAAATTGCAGAACATACATGGGGGTGATTTGGATAGCCCTTTTTGGGACACCTTGCATAAAACACATAATTACACTACTCTTACCACATAATTTTACCAAATTGATGCTTAAATTGAAATCAACATCTGTGCAATAAAGTTTTTGTGTAAATTACTGATTATACCTCCCCAAGGAATAGACTAAGAGCTAGTGAATGCCAGACCTACGTAATTTTATAAAAGCTGAAAGTTTGCTCCATTGTATGCTCCCAATATAGGTAAGAATATTGGTGCATCATGAAGTCAGCATGGCTTTAGCAGATACCCTAAAAAGATTGTCTGGCAAGGAGTTAGAACTGTCAACACTGTCTGGTTGATGATGGTATGGTAAGACTTAAGAAAAAAGGAAAATTGAAAACTTGAGAAAAAAAGGCATCTTTAGAAAGGGGTCATCCATAAAGTACGTCACACGTAAAGAGGGGGGGAGGGGGTTGACAAAGTGTGACATGGTGTGACAAGGGGTGGGAGGGGTCCTAAGTTTTGTGACATCACATTTCAATTGTTTCAAATATTTGATATAATGTTGATTTCATTAAAAAAAAAGTACTTAATTTAAATTAAAATAAAACTAATTTCGGAACTGCTGTTAATTTAATAATTTTTCGATGTGAAATTGCAAAACATGTGACGTCACACTAGGGAGGGGGGGTCTCAGAAATGTGACCACCTGTGACATGGACGGAGGGGGGGTCAAAAAATCATGAAATTCGTGTGACGTACTTTATGGATGGCCCCAAAGGGCATTCATTGTGCATAGATTGACACATTTTAGTGTATGTTTGTTTAGAGTGGTTACTGTAGTTGTTACTATTTCAAAAGTATTTTAATTTAATTACTGATACCTAAACTGCCATTACTTGCAGGATGCACTATAGGATTTTTGCAACAAACCAGTCTACATAGGCAGGCATTCAGGCATAAGCTAGGATTGGTATAATACAACAAATCACTCACTGTTTCTTGATGAATATGTTGAATCTTTGGATGACATTCTCCTCGAGTCCCATTCCCTAGGCTTCTCCCACTGTGACACTTCACTGATAGAGTTATAATAATACTTCTTTCCTGATGAACTAATGTGTTCTGACCATTCGGCACTTTGGCAGTGTATGGTCAGAGGCACGTTTGATGAAGGTGCACTTCTCTTGTCATATTTACTAACACTAAGCCTACTTTTTTTATCTGATTCACTTCGTTCATGATTACTTCTACTTTCACAATCTTTGCTACGTTTCTCCTTCGGTGATCTGACACTATCTGAAAATTTTTAAACAAAACTATTTAAATTCCTACCTCTTATTTATCAAATAAAGACTTAAAATCTATGTTCAATAGCATTTCGCTTAAGCTAAGAACAACACAAAACACTCGCTATTGCTTATTCAGGATGACCCTGGTGTGTCAGATAATATTCACACAGCAGAATTAGGTTTATTTAAAATTTTACTTTTTAATTTTGATTTCATTATATAATTTTTTAAGGCTAAAATTATTATATTAAATATACTCAATAAATAATGTTATCTAAAAACTAATATACAATGAAGTTATTTACCTTGAGTCCCAACCACTATTGGATGACATAAATATGCAATTTAGAGGTGAGAGATTTAGGATATTAATAATATAAGGTTTTGCTTACCTGAGTACTTATTTCTACAGGTTTTGTAGTCTCTATCTCTCTCCTTTTCGGATCCTTTTGGCATGTAAACATTTCGGGATGTATTGTATCCTCTGTCATCTGCGAGATGGCTGTAGTGGTGGTGCCCATGACTGGAGTGACTGCCGTGTGTGCTGTGACCATGGGATGAGACATTGCCATTGGGGGATCGGAGAGGTATGTACGGGTGATCTGAAGGAGCGTACTCAGTTCTTCTGTCACTCTTTGAATGGTACTTCTGTGCAGCAAACAACAAGTAAACACGTAAACAACAGTAGAAAAATATCTCACTTTACCTACCTTAGTATTAATACTTATAAAACGACACACACATAAATTTTAAGGTTATTGCAAGAATTGGTTTTACGTATCAAATTGGCGATGTGTTTAATTTTGTATCGCAATTATTTGACAGATTGTATTATCTTCGAAGTGTACACACATCCATCCTTGTAATTAGATTACAACAGAAAGTTAATTAGATGTAAAGAATTATCCAGCTGTGGTTATGGTAAAACAATGTTGAAAAAATAACAGCTAAAATCAGGAAATGTGCAGGTGGAATCTTATAATTCCGAGAGTAGTACATAGCAGGTTTCGGCTAGTAAACTCAAAAAGTCGTTCAAATGTGATCCATTTCCCAACTAAAAACCTAAAAAACGCATGTACCTGATATGGATGGGCCTGATGCTTCTCAAAGTACCTGAAAACAAACAAAAATGTTAATACCTCCAACCAATTTACAGCAAAACTCAATCGGCGACCGCCATCTACAGATTGCAAAGCCGAAGCATCTGAAACTTTATCATACCCATCGCTTATTCGCTGAGGTTTCCTTGCATGCATTACCATCAATGCAAATGTACGATTTATTACGGCCTCAGTAATAAAATGCAAAATAAGATCACTGTCATTTAATTCAGTTTTACAGAAGGCCGTGATATATCTTGATGGACGCCATGTCACATTCAAGACACTCAAGAGAGAGATCCGATATGTATATGAAAGAGACAAAAAATGTATCCACGATAATCAACGACGACATGACGACAATCACCGATTACCAACAGGCTTTGTCTATGGTGACTAGTGATGCGAATGTACTAATAATAATCGAAAATAATCCATTCGCGTCCCGACTAAAGACTTAAAGGCCTTAATTTATAGGTCGCGCAATGAAAGTTGAGGCAAACACATACTCACATACGAATTTATTTGAATATCTCAAATCAGTCGGAATAGGCACTCACAGTCACAGCTAGAGATGGGTAGTGGGTAAAAACCCATTTCACCCGATTGGGTTTAAAAACTGGGTGATTTGGGTAAAAACCCGGTTTTTACCCATTATCACCCATTCTGGTGGGTGAAAACAAAAATAGCGTTTTTTTAAAGTGAGAAGTGGTATTTGTTGCTAAGGGGGCGTTCTAGTGTTACGTAATGCAATCTGGGGGGAGAAGAGGTCTTGAAAAACGTTACAATGCGTTACAGTGGCGGAAGGGCGGTCGATTTCAAGTTTTTAAGCAGAAGTACTTTGTAGTTGGTGTTGTTATTTGCATAGCTGGGCATTAACTCGTTAATCCGTTAATCGTTAATTAACGAAGTNGAGTCCCTTATCGAACGCTTAAATTTGGCCCTTCAGGATGTCTCTGATTGGGGCGATGCCAATCTGGTCCAATTTAACGCGTCCAAAACACAGGCGTGTCTGTTCTCCGCCAAACGAAGTCCATTTCGTCTGGCTCCAACATTCCGAGGTGTGCCTGTTAAAATCACCGAGCGACTCCAACTTTTGGGTATCGAAATGTCCAGCAAGTTGAACTTTGGCGAGTACATCGAATCCATAGCGAAAACTGCTGCCAAAAAACTTGGTATCCTCTCGAGGGCAAGGCAGTACTTCTCCAATAAGCAAAGGCTGCAGTTATATAAAGCACAGATCCGACCTTGCATGGAATACTGCTGCCACCTCTGGGACGGCTCTGCCAAGAAATATTTGGCTGCTTTGGATTCGGTGGAAAGGCGTGCCAGGAGACTAATCGACAGCCCGACCCTTGTTGAAGCGTCGCTCCAGGAACTTGACCACCGCCGTAAAGTTGCTTCTCTAACGGTTTTCTACAGGCTACACTTCGGAGAATGTGCGAAGGAATTATATAACTTAATTCCACCAGCCCCTTTCCATCACCGGGGAACCAGACGCAGGCTAGCGTACCATCCCTACATTGTCGACATTCCACCAGCTCGCACTAAGCGTTTCGACGACTCCTTTATAATGCGAACAGCTAGGGACTGGAATTCGCTGCCTGCTGCTGTCTTTCCCGAAGACTATAATCCGGGCCTTTTCAAGGCAAGAGTGAATAGGCACTTACTGGGCAGGTATGTACCATCCTAGACTGCATCTCACTTAACACCAGGTGCGATTGCGGTCAAATACCTGCCTTGGCTAGCATAAAAAAAAAAAAAAAATACTACAATAACACTAAAGTTCCACATCCATTTAGCAGGTTTTATGTGAAAGAGTAACAAACATCCATTCTCAATCTCAGAAACTTTCACATTATAATATTAGTAGTAGGACTATTACTTACAGGAAATTCTTCAAAGTACTCATTCTCAAGCCATCTTATGATAAGTGGAAGCCTACACCATGGCCCAACTCGCAGCATTTCACTAAGAACTCGGAGCTTGAACTGGTACTCCGTCTCCTTTCTAGGTATTTTCTTCAGATTCAAATGCTGCAGTCTTATAGTTTTGGTAGGATTCTGCCAGGCCCATTCGAACTAAAAAGAAATATTTTCTGATAGTGTCATGACTTAGGAGTACCATCATGCTTATTTTTCGTACATAATTCGCTGCCTGGTGCTGTCTTTCTTGAACACTATAATCCGGGCCTTTTCAAGGCAAGAGTATATAGACACTTACAGGGCAGATGTACCATCCTAGACTGCATCTCACTTAACACCAGGTGCGATTGCGGTCAAATACCTGCCTTGTCATGCATAAAAAAAATTTGCAAGTCAAAAGAGAAGAGAATTAATTGACAGTTCTAATATGTTGTTGTCCTAACCAAATAAAATAAAGTTAACTTACCCTTAACGCGGATATATTATTTGGAAAACCATGTACTATTATCACCATCTTCCTGAAACAGAGACAAGTAGTGAATATAAATTTTTCAATGAGTTCCAGTCAAGGGTTCGACTACCAGGAACATGTATAGAGTAAATGTAACTTCGTCAACTTTGTGTAAGTATATAATCTTAATTTTGTTAGGATATTGCAGGCTTATAAAGCTGTACGTACTATGGTATTATGGTACTATGTCGTATCTGACTGTACCAAATGAGACTCACAAACATTTTAGTGTTAGAACTACCTAACCTACAGGCGGTCACGGCCTTAATATAAAGCCATTTGCAAGATATTTGTGAGAGGAAAAAGAGGAGCAATTTTAAGTACTTACCAAGGTCCTCTGTTGCTAGTTCTGTGAGCGCCTCCAGCCCAAGTGCCTCTGTTATGCTGCAAGATTCGCCGGTTCGGATCTCTCGTATAGCCGATGTAAGTGCGCCCCTTATATTTTGGGTTTATATTATAGAGTAAGTAGACTCCGAAGAAGTCTTCCACCAACTCTGGCTTAGACATGGTGAGTTAACCATTACTTTTTAAATAAAAACAGCAAATTAACTTTTTTCAGGCCGCTACCAATCGATCAACATGGAAAGCATTGGGGGAGGCCTATGTTCAGCAGTGGACGTCCTGTGGCTGAAATGATGATGATGATGATGATGAACTTTTTATCGAGTGCCCTCAATCTGTGATGCCCTCCACAACTTTTCTTTTTGTCTGTTTATTTTTCGTTTGAAAAGTCAGCTGTTTTTGACATTTCGTTTCGTTTCATGAAATTGTATTAATCGAAATCCTTAAAATTCTTACTTACTTTAATTAATTGGTACTTGTAAATGATGATAATAATACCAATCATCTAATTTATTAAGTTCTATTAAATGGTTTCATTAATTTTTAGCAGGCTTTTAGGTTTACTTCAAATAAATGCTACTGTACTTGGGTAACAAAACTCAAGTTTTTGTTTTTTCAGTGAACAGCTGTTTGTTTGACATCTGTCATTACTGTCAGTGACTTCCGCCCGGTTTCACTTGCTTTTTTTCTGTTGTTTTGATCAAATAAATTATTGTAAATAGCAATAACTATAAAAATAGATACATAATTATTATTTTCCTACTGCTTACTTTGTTATCATCATGTCTGAGCAAACTTCTGAAGTTAATTCTCAAAATGTATGCGGCTTGTAAGTATATAAGACTATTAGTTATCGATTTATTCTCTTATAAGTATTGTACACCTTCATGCCTTTTCTTTAAGTTTATTTAAAGATTGATACCTACCTATATTCATATTTACATTTCAACCAGGAAAATTATTTGAAGTCTTCGTGATCGCCTATTTCATTCATAACCTCTATGAGATGGGATTCCCCTGTGTTTACTATTCGAAATATCATTTCAGGTGTAATGAAAAGTCAAGCAAATACTGCTGTCCACGCTGCAATGTCCTCTACTGCTCTCTGGACTGTTACAAGTCCGAGAAACACTTGACATGCTCAGAAAGTTTCTATAAAGACTGCGTCAACGAAGAATTGGCCTCACATCAGGCAGACGATGAATCCAAACGCAAAATGATTGAAATACTCAAGAGAATGCAAAATGAAGATTTAGGCAATCCAGACGATATCGAAGAAATGTTACAAAACCTTGATGAAAACGGCAAAGATGATGAACCGATAGACTCGGATGATGAACAGGAAATAGACTTGCATGATCGAATAAAAGACCTAAATCTTGACGATCCAGATGCGCTGTGGAATGCATTAACTACAGATGAAAGGAATGAATTTGAAGCACTCTTGAATCAAGGGGATGTGGGGTCTATAATACCCCAGTGGCAGCCGTGGTGGATGTACCATAAAGAAGAAAAACTTGTAGAAAATGTTGATGAAAAAGACAAACCAACAGAAGATAGAATGGCTGACTGTCCATCTTTAGTAAAAGTCCCTAAGTTTACAGATCTAACAGTAAGTATTACTTGATTATGTATCGTATAGGAAAATATTTATACATTAACCTCGTAAGACCGAAGAGCAAATTTTGTCGACTTCTAAGTATCGCTGAATGTGCTTTCGGAAGAACGAACAATTTGAAGTCGTAAACGCCAAACACTTCGAGTAAAAAAAATTCTATGTTAGAGATTTTCTTTTGCACCCATATTTTCAGGGACCCTATATAATAGTGCATAGAGCTTATTTTAGGTAAAAAATAACAAAAAAATGTTTTCTCTTAAAAGAACATTCGGTATTACAGACTTTAAAAAGAAAAAGTAAATAAATTGTATTTTATACTTTAAAGTAAAACATAAATGTAACCTCCTTAATAAATTAATACTACATAAAGATACAATAAATATAAAAATAAATGTAACTGAAAAGGCACAAGTATTTTAATTTTATTTAATGTTTCATTATTAGTACTTTCAAAAGTACTATCGGTTTTAGAACATACAATAATGATAGGTTAGAATGTATAAGAAGTAGAGATGAAACGGATAGTTGTTTGGCCGGATACCGGATACCGGATATCCGGCCAGCTGCTAGGCCGGATAGCCGGATATCCGGCGGCCGGATAGTTGGCCCATTGTCTCGTTGCATGTCGTGACGAGTTTAGGTGCTTCGAACGCGATCAGTGAATCTATTAGTAGACTAGACTAGTCACACTTTTCGAAAATCGAATCAGTCCGAATAGAATGTCAGATTTTGCCACTTGTATTGCATTCTTTGCACAGGAGTCCACTGTCTCGTTGCCAGGGATACCACAATGGCTAGGAATCCATGCTAAAATAATATTAAGACCTTTTTGATTGCACCTGTAAAGGGCTTCTCTAATTTTAAATAAAATGGGATATTTGGTTTTGGATTTGAACGGATTGGAGGAAACACCTTGGAGGCAACTTAAAGAGTCTGAGAAGATTACTGTTTTGGAGAAATTATGGGATTCAGCGTAAAGAATGGCTTCAAGAATGGCTAGAGATTCGCCTGTGAAAACAGAAGAGAAAGGAGGTAATTTAAATGATAAAGCTATTTTAAAGGCAGGTATCCATACCGCCGACCCAACGCAGCCATTTATATCAAGTTTAGAAGAGTCTGTATACATGTACTGCCAGTCCGGCCAGTGTTTGGCTACAATATTTAGAAAAATTTTGGGAGCACCGGGGCAGTCCTTATCTATTCCCAAATTTAAAATGATGGATGGATTAAAAATTAATGATTCGAAGCATGTAGAGTACAGAGGGTTTACTTCCATCTCTTCGATAGGAGCCGGGAGGCGAGAAAATTTAGAAAAAGAATGAAGAATACAAGAACGTTTCTGAGTGGCGCCGGCTGAGTCACCCAGAGTCGATAAATGACGAAGTTTTTCAATGAGGGGGTGGCCACGATTTTGGATAGTCTTCGCAAGGAAGCGGTCGCTGAGAAATTGTCTGCGTAAATAGAGGGGAGGATCGACGCATTCGACTTGCAGACCGTTGATTGGAGAAGACTTCATGGAACCCAAAATAATACGTAAACATTTAGATTGAATTTTTTTGATTTTATCTAAAGCTGATTTATTACACGGGTCAAGGAGAAAGGAGGCATAGTCCAGGTGGCTACGGACGATAGCGTTGTAGAGGAGTTTTTGGGAAAAAGGATGAGCGCCCCAACTAACTCCAGAGAGAGAACGTAGAATATTTACTCCTTTCTCAGCCTTCTCAGTGATGTAATTAAAGTGAGGGATTCCAGATAATCTGCCGTCCAATATCAACCCCAAAAACTTAACCTGATTTTTTGGTTCAATCAGTTGGCCATTAATGTAGATATTCGGATCAGGAATTGTATGTTTCCTTGTAAATACAACGGCTGAGCATTTGGGAACCGAAACTGAGAGACCATGGTCCAACAGCCAGTCATCCAAGTACCTTAGAGCGGAATTCATGCGGGAAGAGGCTTCTGGGATAGACTTTACAACGACATAGAGAGCTATGTCATCTGCATATTGTAAGATATTAACGAACGGAAGGACCGTTCGTTCTAGATCGTAGGTGTAGATGCTGTATAAAAGCGGACTGAGCACAGATCCTTGTGGTAAGCCTTTCCATACTAAACTTGGTGAGGAGCAGTTGTTTTGGAATTTTACTACAATCGATCTAGACATTAGAGAATTGCAGATAAAGCGAACCATCTTCGGCGAGCCACTCAGCTGAAGCAATTTTTGCCTGAGTGTTGGAAGAAGAACGTTGTCATAAGCAGAGGCAATGTCTAGGAATACTCCTACCAGGTATTCCTTGTTTTTGAATGCTGTGCGAATATCTGTGGTTAGTATGCTCAGACTGTCGAGGGTGCTAAAACCTTTCCGAAAACCAAATTGAGATTTAGCAAGGATGTTTTTTGATTCCAAAAACCACTCGAGGCGGTTCCTAATCATATGCTCTGTAATTTTCAGTAAAACGGATGATAGGGCAATTGGTCTGTATGAGTTATGATCCAGAGGATCCTTGCCTGGCTTTAAGATTGGGATGACAGTTTGCTGTTTCCAGGAATCTGGAATAAAACCCTTGTCGAAGAAGCAATTAACTAGGTTAAGGAAGTACAATTTAGCTGCATTGGAGGATTTGCAGAGAAAAGAATAGGGGATACCATCCAATCCAGGAGTGGAGTCCCTTAATCCACTTAAGGCACAAAGAAGTTCGTTAAAAGAGAATATGTCGTCTAAATTACTGGAAGAAGAAATGGGGATGTCAATGTCTGAGGGGAAACAGTCAATGTGGGGGGCGGAAGGTGGAGCTAATTTGTCGGTAAATTCAGTTAACCAACTGGACGGGTCGTTGGAAGTTATGTTAACAGTATTAGTTGATTTGCGAAACCGTTTTATTTGTTTCCAAACGATAGCAGAGGGCGTTCTTGGGGACATAGTCTCGCAGAATTTTAACCAACCTTGTTTCTTTTTTTGCTTCAGGGTTTTTTTAGTTTGAGCTGCTATTTGCTGATATTGCAAAAAGTTATCCATAGTCATTGAGTTGTTGTAACGTCTTTCAGCTTCTTTGCGTCTACGAATAGCGGCTGAGCATTCAGCATCCCACCATGGAGTAGAAGGATTTTTGCAAATAGGGTTTTTTAAAGGGATGTGAGAATCGGCAGATGATGACAGAATGTCAACAAAGTTTTTATAGCTCATCGAAGGATCGTGAGGGTTAACAGCTGGAAGGGAGTTTAATTCTGTATCTACTGCTGTAGAAAAAGCTGACCAATCTGCTTTGTTAAGATTATACTTTAGAAGCGGAGGAGGGGCGCAAGTTGCTACGGATTCAGTGGGAAAAGAAATTAATATTGGGTAGTGATCGCTTCCAAAAGTACTCCTAAGTACATTCCATGAGAGAAGGGAGGATAAATTAGGTGAGCAAAAAGACAGATCAACAGCAGAGGCAGGATTTTGTAAAGGAGAACATCTTCTCGTGGGACGGCCGTTATTTAGAATACAAAGATTGATATCATCTATCAAATCTAACATTAATGACCCTGATGAATCCGAGTGGTAAGAACCCCAAGAGACATGATGAGCGTTAAAGTCGCCCATTACGAGGACCGGAGGGGGAAGAGAAGAAATGATAGATCGAAGTTCTGAAAAAATAGTTGAATTAGGATGAGGGATATAAACGGAAAGAAAAGAGATATTGAAAGAGCGAATTGCCACGGCATTGATGCCTTGGCTGTGAGGTGGAAGAGGTAGTTGGTGAAAAGAAAGAGAACGCCTTACGAGTAAGGCTGTTCCTGCATAGCCATCATTTCTATCCTCTCGGAGACAAGAGAATCCTGCTACACGAAAATGTGAATCAGGGATTAACCAAGTCTCCGAGATGGCTAGGATAGATGGCGAGTGTTTTCTGATAATAAACATAAGTTCGTGTTTCTTTCTTCTAATACTTTGGCAGTTCCATTGAACTACCGTTGACGGATTGAATGTTAACAGCTAAGTTACCAATTTGGGTTAGTTTTTGGGCAACGTTGGACGGTAGGGAGCTAGTATGACTTGTAAGGAGGCATAGTAACATAGACAAAATATAGTCTAGTAGATTTTCTGTAGAGGGTGAAAAAGGTTGATTTTCCTCATCTGCATTGCAGTTATTAATAAGGGCACATCCATTGGGAAGAGAGGAAGGACAACTTCCAATGATGGATTGATGTGTTTGCCTGTCGTATCCTTTACCTAAAGGAGCCCGAGGGGAGGGTTGACGTGTAACAGTCTTTTTGTAAGAGACGGTTGGGTACGTATTGGGGGACGATTGGGTAGGCCTAATTGTGGAAGGTGAGGACATCTTAGTAGTGTCCGAGTATGAACGCCGTACAGACGGGAAATGAGAAGAGGCTTCAGAGTATGATACATTGTCTTGAGACATGACAAGTTTAATTGATTTTTGTCTAGAGTACTCCGGGCAAGATTTATTTAGGGCAGTATGGGGACCTGAGCAATGTATGCATGTTGATTTGGTTTCAATCACCTCACAGGAATCACCCGAGTGAGGTTGAGAACATTTGTAACAGCGGGGTTTTGATCTGCATTGTGCTTTTANCCCGCAGGTACCTATTACAAAATGCATTTCTTTGGGATTTTACTTTCTTTGTTCTTGGTCATAAAGGTGTATTTTAAATTTATTAAATCGTTTTCTAGGTAGTTATTACATTAGATATTTCAAAATCCTATGTGGTCTATTTTTAGCCCTATTCAATTATTTTATTTTAAATCAAAATACTTGCAAATGGTTGGTCATTTTAGTTAAGCGTTAGCAACGTGGTATTAATTAAGTTTTAACAACATTCAGATACTTGTATAATAAAGCATAATTATTTATTATAGGCATCCATATGTTATTGTGAATAAATTATGCAACTTTTATCCTTGTTTTGTTTTAATTTTATAGATATTTATTGATGAGGAATACTATCAATTTATTAATGTAGAAAAGTTATTCATAGAAAAATGAAAATTATTTTCCATAATGATATCATTAATAAAGAGATTCTATGTGGTTAATTTAAAATAATGATAGGCAAAATCCCAGGTATTTTATGGATATTTTATATCATAATGCTTAAATTTCTTTTTTAGTGCTCAGTCACCATTAATAAATTAATTAATAATTAAATAGAATTGAGGTTTAAAATATTTTTATTTAAGAATTAGGTAAGAATTTTAATGCAAGTATTTATGTATAGATTTTGCATATTTTATTATTCATAAATCAACTTATATTTCTTAACACTTGTCTTCAATAAATATTTGTTTTATCAATGAACAGAAAAATCACTAACTTGTACCTTTAACTATTGCAGTTAAGAAAATGTTATTTGTAAAATTTTTGTTTTTAAAGTATTTTTGCATTAAGTTCTACTATCCCACTAATATTGTTTGTAAGGATGAACATGTGGATATTTGTTACTCTTTCATGCCAAAGACCAAAACTACTAAACATATTTTGATGAAACTATAGTACTATTGTATGCATCAGAATAACTTGGGACAAAATTTATAACACCTGTGATCAACTGAATTATGTTTTTTTGTGACAGACAAAATTCCACGCAGGCGAAGCCGCTGGCGGAAAGCTAGTAAATAATAATTCTGATTGTTTTTCAACAGGTGGAGGCTAGTCTCAGCAATGGAATCAAGCAGGGTATGCTCCTTGAAGTGTGCCACAAAAACAATCCAGATATGTACTGGATTGCTGAGATTACCATGGTTTGCGGCCATTTGCTTAGAATCAAGTACTTGGGTGCCAAAGAAGATTTCTGGTGTGATATTTCAAATACCAAGATCCATCCCTTGGGATGGTGTGGGAAATATGATGAGCTAATTGAGCCACCAGAGGATATAAACTCTCAATATGGAGACTCAATCATAGAAGTCATGAAGAAGGCATTATTTGCTGGGCAATCAGTGGCTATTGAGGCGTTGAATAATAAAGGCCTGTCCCCTATTGATAGAATCAAGGTCGGAATGAAGGTGGAAGTGCAGTATATTATAGACCCATATAGATACTGGATTGCAACTGTAAGTATTTTTTATTACGTAAATAATTTTATTTTATCTACATTTCATTGCTTCCACAATTAAACTATGTTAGTATTACACCACCAATGCTACTGTATTTTAATTAAACTTTTTAAAGGTTCTGGATAAATATTTAATTCACAGTATATAAAATTATATCACTGAGACATTTTTTTTAAATGTTTTAGGTAACAGAAAATGTTGGTGGAAGACTGCTACTGCGTTATGATGGCAGTGATGATGAGTTACCACAGTTCTGGATATTTTTCTCAAATCAAAGGCTATCTAACTTTGGATTTGTAACTAATAAGGTAAGGCCTGTTATTAATGCAGCTGAAAGGCTAATTGTTTTTTAACTAACTTGATTTATAATAATTAAATAAATGTATTTGTACAGGGTTCACCATGGCAGTTCAGATACCCTTCCAAAATAAACAAATTCTCCTGTAAAAATAAACTTAGCACTCAACTTCGGCTAAGTAATGAGGAATCTATCAAAGAGCCGACACCTGCAGATTTATTTCAGGTAAGCATATACAGCATTACTTATACAGCAGCATTTTTTATTCCATAATGTTTATTAAAAAATTTGGGATCATGATGCTTCTAGTCTTAAACTGATTTTGTTTTTATTTCTTCAGCCAAACCAATCATTGGAAGCTCATAATTTCATCACTGGCATGAAACTAGAAGCATTGAATCCTCAAGACATGAAGACATTCAGCCCAGCAACTGTTGCAAAAGTGTTTAACAACTTTCATTTCTTGGTTGTTCTTGATGACCACATGGAAGACTATGAGGACTCCAAGGTGGCTTGGTTGTGTGACTCCTTGAATCCGTACATCTATCCCATCGGATGGGCTCAGAAAAACAATTTGAATTTCAAACCACCCAAGATATGGAAAGAAGGCTCTTTCGAATGGGACGAATACCTCGCGATGACATCCTCCGTCCCTGCCCCTGAGTATTGTTTTGGAAACAAAGAGCCTTTAAAAGGAATTGAAGTCAATATGAAACTGGAAGCTGTCAATCCTCACAGGCATGAAGAAATTTACGTGGCAACCGTTGATTCCATCGTCGATCATATGGTATGCGTGGAACTAGTGCCGATTGGAGAGAAGTTTTGGTATTCACAGAACAGTGACCTCCTATTCCCAGTCGGGTGGTGCGATAGCAACAACTACGAGTTGCACATCCCTGATGTGTCAGCTCCTGTCGTGAAAGAACCGCCCAAACCTGTGGAAGAGCCTCGAAATGTCAAAGAAGACATAAAATCCTCTGATGAGTGGTGTGATCGTATTTTCTTCAACTACAAATGTTACGCGGGACCATCGATCAGTAGAAACAAGCTGTCCCAGCTTCCGAAGCATGTTGGGCCGGGACCACTGTCTCTTGTGCTGAAGGAGGTGCTGAATAAAGTTATATCGGCGTCATACAAGCCAGCGAAGTTGCTCAAGGATTGGGAGACTGAGGGACCAGCTGAAGAGGGGATGAGACTTGAAATGTTACGTGCAAAGTAAGTGAAAAAATAATCTGCATTAGGCCCGGTTTCCACGAAGGCAAGGAACGAAAAGTTTCGGGCGAAAAAAATTTGAATTTGAACAATTCTCCGCTCCGCACCGCTCTGCTCTGTCTTGGTGGAAACCAGGCCTTATTCGCTTATAACTTAATAAAAAAAACAAACAGTAGTGACAGTAGTCACTTTTTTCTCAATTTAACCCTTTTCCAATATTCACGCCTATACATTTTGTTAGGTTCGTCAAGCATTATCGTTAACGTTATGATGGTAAATATGAAAATAACCAGTAAACGTTTTTGCTATCACATCTTGGGACCAGTCCAAGTCCAGTGAGAATAGTGACATTATTATGTATGTAGCTAAACAATCTTTCTAAGAGTAGGCGCACACCGTTGATTTGTCGTCGGCCGATAGTTTAGTCGGGCAGGTGATCAGTATGGGCATGTATCATATGGGAGTGCGCACACTACGCCGATTCGTTTTGGCCGATTCTTCATACAAATTAAAATCGGGCACAACTATCGGCCAACTAAAAATCAACGGTGTGCGCCTACTCTAAAACATTTATCTGGTTTCAAAGATCTTTTCTTAACCATACCACCTCGTTCCAGATTGAAGACAAGCACGTACCACGCGTACGTGCCGATCGCGACACAGGCGACTCAGGTGGCGCCGTTCTGCCGCGACGTGTGCGTCAAGATGCAGGCCTGCCCGTGCCTGTTCGGACCCGTAGAGTATACCTCGCAGTGTCCTAACAACTGCCAGAACGTTGACAAGTCCACCTTCCGTAAGTTAAAAGTTTAATAAACTATTTTGCGCCAGTAAAACAGCCTGTCGAATCTCTGCAGTAATATTCACCAGTCCGAAATCTTTTCTCATGTTTTATTTGATAAATTGCAAACGTACAACAACCGAAAGACAAGTGCAGCAGATGCACTTGTTATCTAAGCAATCTTAAAAGAAATCTCACACTTGGTTTTATGTTTTACAGACAACGGAACTGAGCGACGCGGCAGGCCCAAGGGTAGTCAGACTGGAAAAAGAAAGAAGAAAAAGTGTACTCCAGAGAAGAGAGAAAAAGAGCCACAACCATCACAGGAGTCCGAGAGCAACAAGGACGGAGAATCGGTGAGTGAGCACAGCGCGGGCTCCACGCCGCCTTCCGAGCCCGGCACCCGGCCTAACTCGCCCGAGAGTGGCCCCGACCGCAAACGAAGGCAAAGACGGAAACGAGGCACCAAGAACAATTATCCCAAAATGGAAATGAAGACCCGCGGTGCTAAATTACCAAATTTCGCTCTGCAAATGAAAGAATCGCACTGGGATAAAAAGGACGTCGAAACAATTTACAGCAACACTTGTGCCAAGAAGCGCAGCTCCCCCGACAGCGACACAGAAAATGAAACGAACGAAAGCAGCTCCAATTCGAGGGATGCCAAAAATATATCAGACGTCTCAGATACTGAGGAACCGGAACTGAAGAAATTGAAGTTCAACACTTACGATCCTCTCCCGTCAGATAACAAAATGTTCGAAAAGAATACGGCCATGAGTTGGATGAAAGGGAAGCTAAAACTCGCTCAGAATCCCTTGGAATGGTCGGTGGATGATGTTTATTCGTACTTGAGGAACACAGATGACTGTAAATTAATAGCAGAGAAAATGAAACAGGAAGAAATAGATGGAGAGGCTCTTATAATGCTAGACTTGGAAACGATACGGGATTTCTTGCATATGAAGAAAGAGTTTGCTATTCAACTCTGCAAGCACATTAGTATGATAAGGTGGTATTACATAGTTAATTTTGAAGAGAATGCAGAAACGTGATACTAAGATAAATCTCAAAATGTATTGTTTATCTAGTCTGCAATAAAACTATTTGTTAACTTTCACGCTTCATTTTATTACTCAAATTTCCTAGTCGATCACCATAATTATTAGTATGAATTAATTCTTGCGAAATTTCTTGCAAATGTAACTACAAATCTTAGACATCAGAGACTTGTTGTCGTCCTTATCTCTATCATTTGCGAAGTCTTCATTCAAATGAATGTTCTTCTTGGCGAATGAAATTTTGACGGGTATTTCTCTATCAGGGGCTTGACTTTCTTGCTGCTGCCTCACATACTTCTCTAATTCCAGTTTCTTTGCCGCAAGCTTCTTCAAATTTTCTGCAGATGCAACATGATATTCAGTTTCCTGTCGGCCTACATCTTTGATATTTATTTCCGACAGCAAATGACGTTCATTCATTTTGATTTGGACATAAGGAGCGCCGCTCAATAAATAAATGTTAAAGATTTCTTCTTTCTTTGTCGAATTTGTTTGTTTAGATGGATTGTCGTCAAATGTAGAGTCAGTGAGATAATTTTCATTTTTATAAGCTTCAACAACGGAGTGTAGACTTTCTAAAAGTTTTGCCGTTTGCTTTTCTGAGGCAGCACTAGAATGACATGAATCCACTTTGTCTTGAATTTCAAGATTGGTCATTTCAACCCACTTTCGACTTTCGCTTGACAGGCAGGAGTCTGAAGACATTATGTGGTGTATCATGTCCTTAATGAAATCTTCCATGTCGGCAATGGAGTCTTCACGATTTTTAGCTAAAATCTCCTCAAATCTCTTTTTGTAAAGTTCGAAATCCTGCATACTCGTATAGAAATTATCGAAAATCTCTTGAACAGTCGTTTTGAAGAATTTAATGTTTGATTCGAGACTGCTAATAGATGAATCGTCGGTTTGTAGTTCTTGTGATATATTTTTATAAATCTTGTTTTCTAGTTTCTCCAAGTCGGAATTGGTAAGCGACGGCTGGTCGCTGTCTCTACTGTTACTTATTATAACTTTATTGGAATCGTCTTTAACGGGGATTTCATCATGTTCATATCGTTTGTAATACTCCGCAGAATCAACGTTTTTAAAGTCGCTTCTACGGCAGGTGTTCTTCCTACATTTTGGCGCTGATTCTGGCACGTTCACGTCGGACTTCCACGAGCTGCCGGAGTGTAGGGAATCTCTTGGTGTTTCGCCACCGTAGAAGCTATGACGAGTTTTCAGATTGTGATCTTGATGAAAATTACCTGATAGAGAATAGTATAAAAAATAAAGATGAACAGTTTTTATTCAATAATTTGGTCGTCATGTTTTATTATTTATATAAAGGTTGTCACTTACTCATTGCACTGCTACAGGAAGTCATTTTGCAGGAAAAATAGTGTAGTTACCTGATGTAACAGAAAAATATAGGTATTATTAACCATAATAGGTCAATTTCAGGGCACTTCTTAAAAGTCCCAAGTTTGCCACTTCGAAACAACATATCGGATGTGCCTTATAGCTACTTCTTACTGAGGAGTGACGGAAGAAACTCGGATAAAGAGGAAAGTTGTTAAAGTGCTCAATTTTTTTTAGGTACATGTACCTAGGTAGATTCTGCATAAATAGTTTTTCTCACCTTCAGTAAATCATAAGGGTAAGGCAAATTCTGGTAACACATTCACTTATTCCATTGATAAATGTATCCAATAATTTTGAAGGCAAGATGTAAATTTGTGAAAAATGTGAACTGTGAAACAGTTTGACAGAGTGACTTTAGTTAGATCATAATTATTATTTATGGATGTTCAACCCTGTCAGAAGAAAAAGTTTCAAGTAGGTTAGGTATTATTATTTTTTGGAGCTGCTCCTTCCTGTAGTCCTATTAAAGGTAGGCGAAGATGAAAAACTTAATCAATTTGTATTTTACATTCGCTAAACTACAAAATGTAGGTATTTTATATGATATACCTGACATATATTGTTATGCTCATGTATTGTATGAAGTCAATTTGGCAAAGATTGGGATTCCCGAAGTTTTTCTCCATGCCTTCCGTTTCAAAAATACCCGCCAATCCTTTTCCCCCGCTCCCTGCTTCAACGTCATTTTTTTTTCGAGGCGTTCGCGGTTTGTGCTTGGGTTTGCGTAAGCTTCCATCATTTCATATAATCGAAAGCTCTTGTTTTGAAAGAAGCTGTATAATTTTATATTTCCTAAGCACAAGTTCTAAAGTAAATAGGGCTTTTATTGTCTTTGGTGACGTAAGAAAAGGATAGCAATAGCAAGTTTCTGTTGTTAGAGAGAGAGAGGAACTGACACTGTGGCTGTTTTCAAACTAGTTTAGTTTTATTCTTTCTTGTCTATGTCAGTCACAGATATGGATAGATGCAGCATGTGTCAAAATTTGTATGAAGCCGAGCGTGCCACTTTTTAAACGTCATTAGTGTCATTTTAGCGAATTTTAGTGATTGCCGCAACGTAAAAGTAATCGTATCATCGTACTGCATTCGCAAAGTCATCGAATGATATCGTGTGACTCGATTCAAAAATTAATTAATTCCGATAAAACTGATATTTTGTTAAATTTATAGCTAGTCTGACTGTGGATTAAAATAATTTTGTAGCGGTAGACGTTATTCTACAATTCTACATTATTAATTTGCAAATAATATTTTTGTTGTGCCTAATGTTTATGAAAGTAATGATCGTTATTCCATTATGTTAAATAGTACTACTAGTAATTCATACTTAATTCCATACTTTTAAATATCCTAGTAAGTAAATGACCTAGTTTCATAAAATAAAGACTATTTTACTCAAGCTTTTTATTTTTAATAAATGTAAAAAATCGTATTTTTGCCAATACGTTTTCTTTCATAAAGCTAAGTCAGGTACCTAGATTTGAAGATATTTCTAAACGACAAAATCTCGGGCGTCGTATACATAGACTAGTAATAGTGTATACTGCGATCACTGACCTAACTTCTTGATTTGTATATTTCGACGTTATACAGTGCACTCTGTCTTCCGCGATCACTGATCTAACTTGTTTTATAATTCTTCTACTGCTACTTTATTCTAATTAATTACATATTTGTTACTCGTTGCTGTTAATTACAATTCTCAATCCGTAAATAATTTCTTCTCTCTACCGTGTTCGTACTACTGTCCTCGTAAAATCATCGTATCCGATTGTTGTAATCGGATTACATGAACATCACTCGACCATGTATGTCCATTTGGACATATCGGAATGGCACGCTTTGACTAGCAACTTGCTGTATCTACTCTAATCCATATCTGTGATGTCAGTCATTGAACCGTCAACGCTGAACGAACGAACGACAGCGAATATTTTTGAGGCCCCGCCTATACGCTCGCGTAATTTATTATTTTAGTTGATTTCCGCGATGATACTGTTATAAAAGTCTCTTTAGGTAATTATTAAGTTTAAACAAACTGATATGTGTAATTCTTAAGTTATGATTAAGCTATTTGCATTAACGAAATGTGATTATTGATTTGCCGTCTATCCAAAAGAAATTGTGAATTAGTGCGGTTTTCTAATGGTTTAACATAGTGCATTTGTGTAATTACAAGGGCTTTAAAGTTTCCTTGCAGCTTTGTTGAATGTGGAATGTGTATTTATGTCACAAGAGGGTTGTAATTTAGTGAATTCGGTGTACCTATTTTTAGTGGGTGTTGTCATTGTGGCCAAGCTTTATTCGGATTAGGTCATCGAGTGCCTGAACATGTGTGCCGGGGAAATGTGTTTTGCTGTATTTAAAGTGAATTGTTTGGTTTCTTGTTAGATAAACGAGTCAGGAGATTTGGAAACATGAGTACAGTGCGACTGATATGTTTCGTTGCGGCCGTAACGCAAGCCGCGGCGTTGTGTGAGTATTTACTTTCTTTTCACTATGTTACTTACTTCATCTACTTGTTCTCGCTAAATTGATCAACTTTTGACAATATCTCGCAAAATAATTAATTAGATGGTGTGATAACCATTTCAAATCAGAAGTTTTGTAGTTTTAAAACACAAAACATAGGGTACCTACTTCCATGCTTACAAGATTCCAATTGTCAGAACTTTTTTCAGTTCTCATTATATTGTAATCTAACACCAAGAATAAGCAATGTATAAATAAATATATTTTAAGCACTAGATAGATTTCATGTTGATCTACTGGCTTAAATCTGTAATTGACAATATTATTTTGTCCTTGGTTAGTGTATGATTGAGATTTTGATGTCATGATGACTACATTGGTACAAGTAACATGTATGGACTGTCCCACTATGATTATATAGATCATGTTTATTTATTTGCAATAATACAATTTAATAGTCTGGTTAATCTAAAATAAGTTTTTCACACAAATAATACATTTGATGAGTAAAAAGTAGGTATTGCAATGCCAAAAATATAAAATAAACAACTTTTAATGTGGGCTCTAATAAAAGTATGTGCCAGTCAGGTATTTGCCAATAAAACATTTTGAAAATGTCTTACAGATTCTTATGTAAAGAATCGAATCCTGTCCTAAACTACTCTAATATGCTAAAAAATAGTTTATGTGTTAGTAAAGTCAAGGTGTAGATGGATAGATGTAAAAGAATGTAGACCAAACAGAATAATTATTTATACTAGTTTATTTAATTCTTGTAATCAGCAGTTTAATGCAAGAACAACAGGTAAGACTTGTGGTAAAAGCCTTATTACTATGAATTTAATAAAAATAGTAAGACACAGGTCTGGAATGCGAAAGTTTAAAATCTTATAATTTAATAAAAACTTTGTCCCTGAAAAAATACATGACCCCTGCTTATTTTCTTCTTCATTCTATTTAGAATCTAATACAATACCTAAAGTGCAAAAAGGTTAAAAACAATATCATCCAACAGTGACCTCCCCACCGAAGATGGTGAAGCAACCGACACAAGAAGAGCTGCTGTTCCAAGTGGCGCAGCAGGGAGAGGTGGATAAACCCTTCATCATCGAGTGCGAAGCTGAAGGAGAACCCGCTCCAAAGTAAGTTTTTAGACAAAATATTTCTAAGGCTGGGTTGCAACATCTTACTTTGACTTTAACAAAAATGTCAAAAACTATCAAACTCCATAAAAAAGCACCGGTTATTGTCAAAGTCAGGTGGTGCAACTCAGCCTAAAACTGTACAAAGCGAAAAGCGTTGTCATTTTCTATATTTTCTAATTCAGCATTATTGATCTGTTAGATCAGTAGTTCTTAACCGGTGGACCACTGGTGGTCCCCGGAGGCATTCCAAGTGGTCCGCGAAGACATCGTAATAAACAAGTGACTTGACGTGATGAGTCGAGACAACACAACGCAAACGGCGCACAGTGGGGGAGAAATCGACCTCCCCTTTCATAGGATTTTGAAAAAAAAAAGTGGTCCCTGACAAGACAGAAATTTGGTAAAATGGTCCCTCGTGACTTAAAGGTTAAGAACCACTGTGTTAGATTGATATGAATTTATATTAAACTGTACATAAGCCCACAGTGTAATTGTTTGTTGCCTCAAGAGAGATAAAAAACTCTGGGTATATAAATATTGGAAAATAATGATACCTAATGTATCAGTTTATGAACAAAACAAAAATTCATACCTAGAGTTATGTCCTACCACAAAAAGAATAATCTTCCTAAGTGTTTTGAATCTTTTTTTTACTATGCATTATCCTAAAGAGAACTATTGTTATTCATTCCATGAGCAGCACTTAAAAACCTACAAGTACTGAATGGAATATAAATTGCCTTCATTAAGTATTGTTATGAACAACTAATGGTTTAATCATTCTAATTATTATTTTTAAAATTTTGTAAGTACATACCTACACATTATTTATGCATGAATTTTTGCCTGGTCATCTTTCAATCAATCCAAATCTTGAAAGTCTAATAAAAATGGGTAGTGGGGATAGTCGTCTACTGTGTTTCCGTAATTTCTTTTATATCGTAACTGCACTTCTAAAAATCTCACGCGATTTTGGCCTCATAACAATAAAATTAAATTGAATTATCTCATCTCCAGCACATGTAATGTCGCTCGTAACTCCGAACACACTTATTAGTTCCCCCAATGTGTATTGTGTCGCAAACGTGGGTCGTAGACCACAAGGTGAGCGGGTCATTCTGCTAACTAAATGTTTGTATACAGATCTTATCCTTGAGTTTTATAAATATTGTCTTCAAAATTGACCACACATTACGTACCTACGTAAGTTTAGTAAGAATGTTGGTCAAAATTTAACTGAAATTACATAAATAAAGTGTCTAATAAATAAGACTATTTTCAGACCATAAAGTAAAAAAAAAATAGTTAGAATCACATCACTTACTTACAAATAGTTGAAAAAAATAATTTTAATGATTGCCATTTATCTATTAATTTATTATACCAGTAAGTACTTTTAAACACGCAATGTTTACAACCTATTTTTAAAATCATTACAAATATATTTTTTTAAATCTTCAATACTAAAACAATTTTGTATGTGACAATTAGGAGAAGGGAAGGACATGAATTTTGTCGCGAATGAATCTTAAAGAGATTTTACGTGCTATTAAATAAACGCAGGCGAAACCGCGGGCAGAAGCTAGTACGGTATTAATTTGTTAATTCGCCAAATGATGATAACCATCGAGGCGCGATCATTTTATTAGGTTCATCAACGTATCGTAATCAAGTGTTAAACACGTGGGCGAAGTTAGGACAGAAATAATGACTGGAATTAGTGCGTAATTAGTAACTACTAACTACACACATCTATTTTAATTTGCCTATTTCTAACCGACAAAAAAATTGCCATTATCTCCTGGGGACTTTGTTGTCTAAAATTTATGAATTATTCTTCTTTATCTAAAATACTGTGGCTTTCGTAAATCACCTTTATGCGGTTTTCTACGACCTAAAACTAATAAAGCTCACTGATGCAGATCCAAACAATAAAGTTTGTCTGCGAGTTTTGTCCTTACCTACCTGAGGAGGCATTTAAAAGCTTTAAAATCATTAAACGCTTTTAGCATTTAGCAAAAGATAACGTTCAGTAAGGTCGACTTCAGTGCTCGAGCAGCTCGCCGTATAACGCTATAAAGGCCATCGACTTTTTGCATCGCTATTGAAATCGAAATGCACGATGATAGCAGCGGCTATTTATAGGATGCATTGTTCAATATCACGTAATACGTAGGTAAATAAATAGCATATGCATAGGAAAAGTTGTGCCATACGACCTATTTACATCTCTAGATTTTCACCTGGAATAAACCATTTTTGTTTTCCGAATATAGATCAGAAATTCAGAAATTGGGAAAGATAAAACCTAATTGTAGAACGTTCGTACCCTCTTTGGTGTAACGTTCGTTCGTTTCAGTTAAATGACGTCCACTGCTGGACAAAGGCCTCCCCCAAGGTTTTCCACAATTAACGGTCCTGCGCTGCCCGCATCCAGGCTCTTCCCGCGACCTTTACCAGATCGTCGGTCCACGTAGTAGTTGGTGTAACGATCTTTACAAAGCAGATGTTTGTTTGTGTCTAATCTAAATGCTTATGAGATAATATCCAGAACTGCTGCTGATCCCTTTTAGAAATGTTTATATGAAAGTTTAGGAAAAGTACCCCCGTTTTTTCCCTTTTCAATCTAAGAATTTACGTATAGTTCCTAGGGGATGATAATATTGACGAACAGCAATCCACTCGATCGGAACCACGCGCAAAGAGAAAATATAAGGAAAAGTACCTATAATAATGGCCACTGTTTCAGCCCGGAGCACAGTAGTTTGATATTAAAAAAAGGTGGACATACGATCGAAAGTCATAATTTCACCGAAACAAAAATTGTTTTGGATAGAATTTTGAATGCTGATCAACATTTGTCATTATGCATTTTTCGATAAAACGAGCCTATCATGCTTAAAAAAAATATGTCAAGAAAATTTGTATGGAGAAAAATCTTTTTTATTTTTTTTCTGGCTACTGTTGCAAACTGTAGCGGTCAAACCTTATGTAGTCGTAAGTACCTATGGTGCCTAAAATTACTACATAAATACTTTTTGCGGGCACGCGCGGCCAAGCGAGTAATGGACATGCAAAATTTTAAATATTTTTATTTATTCATTATTGATTTTAATGCACTTAAAGTAATTATTAATAGATAAATATACTTAGTCTAACTTACTACAGCCCCCTATTACCTCATTTCACGCTAAAACCTTTCAAACTAGAACATAAGTTTGTAGGTACCAGGTAGTCAAAGTTGTTTTTATTGTCATTATAATATTCACTACTGGTCTACTGGTTATCGGTTCTAGTTTGAAAGGTTTTAGCGTGAAATGAGGTAATAGGGGGCTGTAGTAAGTTAGACTAAGTATATTTATCTATTAATAATTACTTTAAGTGCATTAAAATCAATAATGAATAAATAAAAATATTTAAAATTTTGCATGTCCATTACTCGCTTGGCCGCGCGTGCCCGCAAAAAGTATTTATGTAGTAATGTTAGGCACCATAGGTACTTACGACTACATAAGGTTTGACCGCTACAGTTTGCAACAGTAGCCAGAAAAAAAATAAAAAAGATTTTTCTCCATACAAATTTTCTTGTCATATTTTTTTTAAGCATGAAAGGCTCGTTTTATCGAAATATGCCTAATGACAAATGTTATCTATCCAAAACAATTTTTGTTTCGGTGAAATTATGACTTTCGATCGTATGTCCACCTTTTTTTTTAATATCAAACTACTGTGCGGAGCTGTATTAGAAATGTCTTTCACAAATCCCGCTTCGTCATTGTCTGTCACGTTTATTTACTTTCGCGATCATTTTATACTTATCCCCGTATTCACACAGGGAGGGCGTTTATCGCCGCTCCGTGTTTCAGTAAAATCCTATTCCAATAACGTTAATAAACTTTGATTTACTCCGAAATTGAGTAATGCTTTAGAATTAGCGCTATTATGATATGTAAATGCTAGTGACGAGGACACACAGATCCCATATTTCTATAAATGATGTAATTAATGACAGCTCGCGGTATCACTTATTTATTATTCGTGCCGTGAATCAACCTCGATATTCTCGCACAATGAAGTCATCTCGAGACCTCTACATGCTACTAATAGATAATAACTGTTTGAGAGTTTCTTTTTTGTATTTTTTATGTTTTTAAATATGATTAATGTAAATTATAACAATAACTAGAGCAAACCGACGCTGATCGGTTTGACAAATAGTGCTCTAATTGTTTGCAATCGCATCCAATTATTTATTTATTTATTATTCATTATTGAGCAATTACATATTTGATCCAAATAGCGTCCTAAATCCTTTTTAGGTTTGTCTAGACACTATTGTTCTCTATACAAATAAAAACAAACGTTTTAGTATAAGCATTCACAACACTTTCAGATATACAAAATTTACAAAAATTTGCTGTTCCATTTATTGTAAACTGGCTTTAGCCCGCGGCTTTGCCCGTATGAAATTCAGTTTGTCATATATCGTTACTAGTCTATTATATGTTATTCTAAAAACAAGAATTTTACTGTGTGTTTCATAAAAATCGGTTCAGTAGTTTATGTTGCGTGTAATTTTCGTATTTTTAATATTAGTAGGATGAGCATAGGTTCGCTTAGACGATGCGATGACCACTGCCACAATTAAAAGTGATTCATGCAGTTCATTAATTTCAGTCATTCAAAAGCTTCACAGAACGAAAAGTTTGTTGCTCTTGAGAAGATTATTCACAAATGACGTAATTTCCCTTTACTGCTTTTAGAACTGTGCGTAGCGAATCGAGATAAACTGGTTTTACGTGTGTCATGAACATCGCCAAGCTTTATACATCTAGTACAACAGACTAATAATAAAAATCCGAAAGTTCGGCTGCCTGTTTGTTTTAGTTTAACTCCTTCGATGGTTGGTTGATGAAAAATTAAATTACATCTTATCATCATAAATGAGGAATGAAACGTTCAAAATTTGGGATAATGAAATTTTTTACGCTTATGATATGAATAATTTAAGCCTAATAATAATAATTATAGTTTTTACGACCGTGTTTTTTTATCGTGAAACTAAAACACGCGATAAACGTGTGCCAGACCAAACCCGCGCAGCGTGCAATCCGCAATATTAAACTAGTTTAATTAATTGAACAACGGTTTCTTCTTACTAACATTTTATTTTTCCCAAAACAGGTACAGATGGATCAAGAACGGAAAGCCCTTCGAATACACCAGCTACGACAATCGGATCTCGCAACAGCCGGGGCGGGGTACGCTCGTGGTCAGCCAGCCTAGGGACGAGGATCTCGGCCAGTACCAATGCTTCGCCGAGAACGAATGGGGTACCGCCACCTCGAACTCGGTGTTTGTACGAAGAGCAGAGCTGAACTCCTTCAAGGAAACCGACGGGCCTCAGACCATGATCACGGCTGATGAGGGCAAGCCGTTCAAGCTGACATGTGAGCCCCCAGATGGCCATCCCAGCCCGAAAGTGTACTGGATGTTGCAAGGCGAACAAGGGCAGCTGAAGACGATCAACAACTCCCGTATGACCTTAGACCCTGAAGGAAACTTGTGGTTCTCGAACGTGACTCGATTTGATGCAAGCGAAGACTACGCGTATACATGTGCGGCGAAGTCTCTCTTTAGGAACGAGTATAAATTAGGAAACAAGGTGTATCTTCAAGTGAAGCCTACTGGCATATCTCCAGCGCTAAACAAGCACGAACCAGTTCGCCAGTACACCACCCGTCGAGTTGAGAAGGGTCTCAAAGGGAAGCGGGTGGAGCTCTACTGTATTTACGGTGGAACGTGAGTATTTCTCCTCGGATCGGGTTCGCCCGATCGATGCTGCTTAATGCGATTTATAAAAGCACAGCTAACGGTGTCACGTCCTGTACGAAAGTTGTAATGTTGCAGTGGTCTGATTGTTCAATCAACTCAAATTGCTTGCTGTTTAGTTTTTACGTGACATTTCGTAGTTTATACTCGTACAATGAGTCTTTAATATTTTATGACTGAATATCTGTGATCGATAAAATGTAGTCCAGTGGTAATTAATTATGGTTTAATTGTTTGTAATGACCAATTTTTTATATTTAGCTTATTAAAAGTTGCTATTAAGAGTAAACGATTACAACACATACACTTTTCAGGCCGCTACCTCAGATAGTTTGGAAGAAGAACGGCAAAACGATACTGTCGTCCCAAAGTATCACGCAGGACAACTACGGCAAGACACTGGTGATCAAGTACCCCGGCTACGAGGACCAGGGCACCTACACCTGCGAGGTCTCCAACGGCGTCGGCACCGCGCTCACATACTCCATCCAGCTAAACATCGAGGGTGAGTCCACACTGTCGTCCCCAGTAACACAGGACAACTACGGCAGACGCTGGTGATCAAGTACCCCGGCTACGAGGACCAGGGCACCTACACCTGCGAGGTCTCCAACGGCGTCGGCACCGCGCTCACATACTCCATCCAGCTCAACATTGAAGGTGAGTCCACACTGTCGTCCCGCAGTATCACAGGACAACTACGGCAAGANCACACTTTCGTCCCCAGTAACACAGGACAACTAAGGCAGACGCTGGTGATCAGGTACCCCGGCTACGAGGACCAGGGCACCTACACCTGCGAGGTCTCCAACGGCGTCGGCACCGCGCTCACATACTCCATCCAGCTCAACATTGAAGGTGAGTCCACACTGTCGTCCCGCAGTATCACAGGACAACTACGGCAAGACGCTGGTGATCAAGTACCCCGGCTACGAGGACCAGGGCACCTACACCTGCGAGGTCTCCAACGGCGTCGGCACCGCGCTCACATACTCCATCCAGCTCAACATCGAGGGTGAGTCCACACTGTCGTCCCGCAGTATCACAGGACTACTACGGTAGACGCTGGTGATCAAGTACTCCGGCTACGAGGACCAGGGCACCTACACCTGCGAGGTCTCCAACGGCGTCGGCACCGCGCTCACATACTCCATCCAGCTAAACATCGAGGGTGAGTCCATACTGTCGTCCCCAGTATCACGCAGGATAAGTACAGCAAGATATTGGTTGTGAAATGCATTTCATTGATAGCGGTTTCAATAGAATATTCAATCAGGCATTACATTTTAGAAGATAAATCTCGCAAAATTCCCCGTATGGCCACGCTGGCGTCCCTTTGTCCAGTGAACCCGTCACACAAAAAGGTTACATTCACAAAACTACATAATGCAACGAGAATGCTCCTGTGAACGTTTGAAAATGCGCTTGTTGCGTCGAAGCCAGCTCTTTGTTCGCCCGCCAGAAAGCACGCGACAGTAAAAAATACATGTACGTTCACACCACTGAAACATCGCACGCTTACGTAATAAACGCTTTATTGGCGGAAACAAGCATCTATTTACCATATTCAAAGGTAGTAATCAAACTTAAGGTCGGTTTTTCTACTAGAAAGGAAGGATAACTTATTGCAGCCGGTTTCGATGCGTTTTTACGTACATAGCAAAGTTCGAACACACATAAAAAACGTGTCTGCGCTACAGATGCAATAAATACATTACATACAAAAACGTTACCCCCATTTCGGATAAATAAGGATGATTACACATTGACATCTCCAGTTACCTCGTAGGCGTAAAGGGTGCTTCCCTTTCAAAGCTCCATGCGAATTTTTACAGACGATCGTTTCACATAGTTTATGGAGGGTGCCATTCAGTACATTCTATGAGCACGTCACCGTCATTTATCACTTTCTACTCGCGTCATTACTGAAAGTGCAATCCAATGACTGTTTATTTCGGTGGGAATGTGTGAATGAATATTATTTTTAGTTCGTTTGCTTTCACAAACACCTTTTAAGCTATTAGCAGGCAAATTGTTAACCTGTTGATTCCAATCGCAAAATAAAAATGATACAATTGTAAAATGAAGGACTTCGAACATGCATTTCTTTGAATGAATTTCAATTAAACCTCTGGCGTTTATTTGTGCCAATGTCAAGTGGAAAATTGATATAACTAGAACAATAGTACTTCGTAACTATTTCACGTGCATTATTAACGATGTAACTGTCAAAAAGATGGCATCACGCCTACATTAACATTTGTCCTGCGTCAGTGCAACAATGCGCGGTACTTACATTGTGCCATAAAGAGGGTCCCAATAAAGGTCCCTTTGTACGTGGGCGCCTCTTTCGGCGCCTACTTCCTCTCATCAATACTAATTAGCAGTAATACCGAGTTATTACTTCAATACAGTCGTACTCTCGTGTGCGGCGATACTTATCTCTTCAATACCGTTACAGTTACGGCTATGTAAATTAGCGCTAACGCTGTCAGTTGTCAACGCGTCGTCTGCGACTATGTAGAGCGGAATATTTTGCAAACATTTCAATAGTTTCAGGCTTAAAACAGTGCGAACAACACATTTTCTCGATTCAAGCCTATTAGAATTGGAAATGCTTTTTTTTATTGGATTTCTTAGCAATAACAGTTTGTTATCTTGTATCGTCCACGCGGGAGCATTTGGATCGGGCTGAGTGCTAAAGGTGTGTGCACACCGATAACTCAGAGTCAGGGCGGCTCGTGCCGGGTTCGTTATTAGGAATGTTCGTCACGCCCACCGCAGGCCGAGGTTTTACTGCCCCACTTGCCCGGCGCCTGGAATTGGGTGTTTTGTGTCACTTCCCCTCTGTAACGAAAGCGGCATTCTTCGTGTAATTGTCAATCTATTCTGTTGGCTTTCCATTCAAGCCGAATGGGTCTAGGGAAATTGCGTGACGACGTTTGCTTCTGTCAAATATTTTGTTTCGAAGTTTCGCTTTTTGTTTACGATGAATAATTCTCGAAATCACACAACTGTCTAATTATTATGAATTCTGTGAGTACCTAACATAATGAGGTACAACTGTAATAGCCCATAAACATTTCTCGGAAGCAGGTTCTCTATCATATTTATTACCATACATGTAGAGACATGGACAGAATGCATTATTAAAGTCGTGATGAACTTGCACTTCATGTCAGTTACCTATGTGATCGTAGTGAAAGTTGTCTAAATTCATTCACTATTTATTTACGACTTCTTTGAACTTACTTCTTGTGCACCATTTATTTACGACACAACTTCGTTGAACTTCTTGTGTTGAAAATAATCAAAAGTGCATTAATCACGGGTACATAAGAGATGCATTATCTGGAGACAAGACGAAGTTCATAAAAATGTCCAAGATAACAACACCAATTTAATAAATTACATGTTTTATAACAGACTTCGTGACGTGAATTACACGTCTGAATGAGTGAACGATTTGTTTAGTTTTTGTTTTGCTAGGTAAACGCAAACAACTGTAGTTAAACAGTAATATTTTAAATATTATAGTTTCAGCTGCGCTAAAGATAAAAATAAAATAGGTTATTTAAAAATTTGTAAAATATTATCCTTCGCACGCCGTGTTACGCTTTTTAATCCGTGTGCAAAAAATACTTTTTGTCGCGACGCCACCAAAAGCATTTGCTTGGATAAAACCCCCGCGACTGCCATGATTGCGTGCAGCGCTTGTGCTCTTAGCTTTACAATGGAAGGACCCAAAATTGTTTCGTTTATTTTTTTCATCGCTTTGAATTCGTCGTCATCCCGTTTCCAACGCTCGGTTCCTGAGTTTGCACCGTAATTGTGGCATTTGACGACAGACCTTTCATTGACGTTTTTCGAGCGTGCACTTTAATCTAGGATTCTTATATTTTCCTTTATAGCATCTCAACTCAATACCGCTTGATTGTAAGAAAACTTTTTCATGCACCACCTATTTCATGAATGTTGTAAAGACAGTTTGTATGTTATTTTTCAACTGCGTTTGCAGATTTTCAGTTTCCCCAACTTTGCAACTTCCATTGGTAAATCTTTGGGATTCTTTTCGTCTAGTTTGTATGGATATAGTTTGGAGAGTTTAGTGGCGCCGTCATGCTTACCTAAATACTTATCCCTATATTTCCTCATCCTATTTTTACGTCTAGTTACCAACCAGCACCCGCGTCCAGGATCAATAAACCATTTCCAATATCGCAAATAGTGTTGTTATCGTTCCCGCGGGCGGCGACAGCGTGCATTAAATATGCCGGCTCGGTGACGTAATGCCACGCACGCGAACCACTGTGACCTAGTTCACACATTAATTGAGAAATTCCTATCGGTCAGTGCAGGATTCCGCACCTGAACGGTGGATGGACTTCCAATTTGTTTTATTGCGAGATAATTCCATTTGTCGTAGGTACCTTACTTCGTCCTTCGTCTACGTAGCAAGATTAGGAGAAGTTACATCGCTATTACAGTAATAGTCGAGGAACAAAAACATTGAGGCATATTTGCAAATCCAACAGATGAGCTTTCTAATGAATCTTTTTTTAAACAACTGCAAACTAAGTTGACTAAAACTTAAACAAAACTCGGCTCAAGCGCATCCTCCACGATAGGTCATAACCATAGTTGGAGGAGTAATAAACTGCCCGTCTGTCTGCAAACTGCTGCATCTAACTGCATAAATGCATCTACAGCCCTGGAAAGGAAGCGGACGTATGTGGCATACAAACATAAATTAACGTCTCCAAGATAAAAAAATAATCGGTCAACTGAATGTCGCACGCTTTGATCGACTTGGAATACTGGCTTGATTAGAAAAGAAAGAAAGAAAATAATTTTATTTTGGCAACAACAATTCAATTCAGGCACCAAAGACATACATAAAAAAAATACTAAGTTGCCAAAAAAGGTCACCTACTCAGTAATATCTTGACAGTGTGACTGCCAAGACACTGATTTTCAGTGGGTGCCTGTTTGCAGCGCTATACAACAAAAACAGAAAGAAGAAGAAAAAAATAATAATAAAATAATGATTATGTTTTCTACAGGAAGTATGTGTTAATTATATGAGTAACTTCTAATTTGAGATTTTGTAAACCATTGAATTTCATAATAGATCGGTCAGAATATGTGTCATTAAACAATTCCTCATTATTATTGTCCTCATTCAGGGGGTCGGGACATGTCACGTACGTCCCTTCGTGGAAGCGGGCGCAATTTACCGCGAACGACCGCAAACAACTATGTCACGCCCGATATAGAATACACTTTATTGCGTTTGCAATGGACTCTATGCCTAAGCATTTTATTATTGACCATGTAGGTCAGGATAATAAAATCTGTCACTTATTACGTAGTAATTTAATGAGTGAATCACAGTTCTACAGGGTGTTTGGCGCATCGTGTGCCAAAATGATTTGGCGGATAGAATGGGTCATTTCCTATATTTTCAGCCCCCATAACACGTTCCATGCCAGGCGGCTACTTTTA